CAGGCCCCTTGTCCTAATCAGCAAGGGCTTTAACTGCGTTATTGAACCCATGTGGAATTTAAGTAGCACCTCAGAGGCCACTTGAAACTGAGAAGCTTAGTCTGAAAGTCAATTTATCTGTAATCAGGCAGGGAAAGAACCTGATGCCATGCTAAAAATGCAAAGGGTGCCTTGACTTCTGACCTTTTTCCTTCCCGAACGGGACTGAGCGGATGAATGCTCCAAGACAGAGGGCAATGGAAACGCAATAAGCCCTCACGCTTCTGCTACAAGCAGAAGAGACGGGACAAAAAGCAGGCACGCTGCAATGGAACCAGGTACCCTGCCTTTCCAAGGCGAGATCCGAGAGCTCCAGGGGTGTCACCAGCAAGCACAGCTGTCACGATGTCAAATGGCACAGCAGGAGAGGAAGAGACACCAAATATTCTTTGCAACTCATTAGATCGCTGTGGAGCCATTAGTCTTCAGACCACTTGGCTTCAGCACCATTTTACAGGGTGTTCCTATGAAATTTTCCATCTCTTCCCAAGCTACTTGCTCCCAGCAGAGCCCACGCACTCCGAGTCACTGAGTCCCGTCCTCGCAGCCCTGGGCCGGCCATTTTCTCACCTGTGAGCGCTCAGAGACACAAACCTGCACATCAGGAAAAGGAGTACACCCCTTTCTTTGCTGCAGCAAAAAACCAACCGAGGCAAGCAATGAGCACACTTGGCACGGTGGCTGCAACGGGGCAAGAAGACAGAGGCAGCTTTATCCTCGTGGGCCCCATATTCCCCATATTCTCTTCTTCCAGGCTCTGAGGGCCCAAACAACTCAGCTGAACTGGTACCCACAGCAGTGCTGGGACCTCCCATTTCATAACGCTATTTAACATGACTGTCAAATGCCAGACAGTATGTCATGTTCAAACAAGAAGAAAGCAGCAGGCCTTGCCAGCTACACACAAGTCTACAGTGGTGAAAATTTCCCCTGATAAAACACCACATGGGTTGGGTTTTCTTATTTTTAAGGCAAAGTGATGAAGAGTCCAGCATTTGGAGCAGAGGGCACTGCAGCGAAGAGATGCCACCCTCCAAGGGAAAGCAAGATAAGACGTCCTTACTGGAGTGATTCCACCGCACGGTGTCCAGCAGCTCTAATTAAACCGTCAACAGCGATGGCCTTCCCCACCTTTGTGCTCCCGGAACACGATCAATGATCTCTGAAGACAGATAGGAAGGGCCACAAATCCTGTTAACATATTTTGGCATAGCTTCACTGCCTTCAGCAGAGCTACGCCAGTGAACGCAGGCTGACTCGCGATTGCTATATACAAAACAGAAAATCCTCTAACATACATAACGCCCTGGCTATGTTTCCCTGCCTCAGCAGTTCACTAATATTTACTGACTCATTTCCCCTGCCAATCCTTCCTACACCCACTTCTGGTCCAGAAGAACATGCTCATGCTAAGGTCCAGGCCACCAGCAGGAAAAGCCATCACACCCCTGCAAACCAAAAGCTGGGAGCTCCTCAGGACGGAGGATTCACTTCCACGGAAAGCAGCAGCGTTCCCCAGGACAGCCTGCGGATCAGGGCAGAGGCTCCCGGCTCAGGGCACCAGCCGTCCCGCAGGAGCGGGCAGAGCTGCCCCGTCTCCCTCGCCCAGCCTGCGGGACGCTCATCCAGCTGCTGCCAGACCAGCACCGGCTGCAGGGGGGCTGGCAACGGGCAGCGAGAGTCCCGTTGCCACGCTTTGGCCACCTAACCAGGCGGCCAGCCTTCTGCCGCTCTCAGGGGATCCAGAAGATGATTCAGAGCAATGTAACTCGAGTTTCCCACCCCGCAAAAGGCCCACAGGGACGAGCTCCCTGGCGTACAAGTTGCACTTCAGGTGTATGAATACCCCTTTCTTCAGCCCGAGAAACTTAAGGTTACAGCACAGTCCCTGTTTTAAAATGAATGGTATTCATCCAGATCCGAATGGCTGCACGGAGGCAAAGCCCCACGCATCAGAAACGCACACGGTGAACGTGTAACACAGAAGGTGGAACATTTATATTCTCAGCATCATGAGAGCATGAAAAAGACTTAAATATCGAAATAAATAAAGATGTTAGAACGCGAGCTCCAGAAAGGCACCTGGAAATCCAACACACGCTTCCTTGTGAGCTCACGCCGGGTGTGATCAGGGCAACCTCTGCCCCCGGGAACTGCACCCTCTCTGCCACAACCAGCTCCACGCTACCACGCCAGTGATGCTCTTGCATCCAACGGTCACACCCCACCTCCAAACCCCACCAACGGCTCGGCGGCAATTTCTGCTGAAGTTCTGGCATTGGTGTCATTCTGCTTCTGCAGAGCGCGCCAGGGCTGGCTGTCCCTGGGAGCTGTTAAAAAAGAGACAAAAGCGCACAAGCTGGCTATCACAGGAATATGATTTAAGATGCTTTGAGTGCTCAGGGTTAGCCAAGCACAGAGGGAGCTGCTGACAATTGCTAGGCCAGTTCAGCAGCCGCCAGAGCAGAGGCGGGAGTGGATCTGCAGTTAACCAGTGCTGTGCCGTGGCACAGGGCGCGTTGCTGGCCTCGATCTGCGCGGTCGTGTCCTTCCTGCTAAAACACCATTTAGCTCACCATGTCACCCTCATTCGTACTTTGAAATACAAAGGTTAACAGACGGAAGCAAGGGAAAAGCAAGGACTTTGTAACCTGTTCTTCAGCTTACACGCCAGCTGCAAAACATCTACCAGCTTTGCTGCTCTTGGGAGTCATACACGGAAAACATGTAAACAAGGCCCATTTAAAGAGGGCAACAGGAACGACTGAGGTATGCGCGATAAGGAGAGAAACACCAGCGGCGTGCCTCTCACGCTGGCAGCGAGTCTGAAATTAACAGGGAGAGTCAAAGTATTTCGTCTCCAAAACAGCCGGACCTCCCTCTCCTTCTTATCCCAGAGCGAGGCTGCAGCGAGCGGCCCGGTGACGACCACGGCCCGGCCTCAGCGCTGCTCCCGACGATGAGGAGGATGAGCTGAGAGCGGGCCCTGAGCAGCTTTATTTCCTTTTCGCCGCTTCCTTCCTGGATGGAATTACTCACTTCCTGGCAGGAAAAATCATTACAGAACGCGCTCGTCTGAGTTCATCCGAGGTTATTATCTGCTCGCTGACCGTGGGTTATTAGGCACCCATGGAGTTTCCTCTGGCACAGCGGGGTGGCTCTCCTGTGCTGCAGGCTTTTGAATAGGAAGAATAAAGATTGCTTGCTAGACACACCTTTTTTTTTTTTTTTAAACCTTTGCTTCAAGCATCAAAGCGCGTGGAAGGTATACGCAGCCTCTTTACAGAACAAAAGATGGGTAGCTGTGGGAGACATTTTCCTATATTGTAGGTCAATTATTAAAATCAAAATCGCCCTTACAATGGAGTTGGACACGGCTGATGGCAAGGCAGGTCAGATCCCAAATGCTTTGTTGGTTCGCCTGCCTATGACTTAAAATGAAAGCTGCTTTTCTGCGGCAAGGGTAGGAGCGCCCCTCCAAAGTCTGAGACCAGAGCTCCATTATGCAGCTCGGCAGAGAATTAATAATATATCACAGGGAGCGTGTGCGATTCTGCCTCCATGGTGACATTTATTTCTACACGTATGCTCAGATAAACCTTTGTTTGATTCAAGAGAAGATTTTGCTTTGCTTTCAACATCTCAAAAGCAAAGTTTGAAGTTAAACGTTTCCCCAGCTGGATGTGGCCGCAGTGTGTAGGGGAGGAGCGGGGCGCTGTGCTGCCTCTGCCTCCCATCCCAGCAGTGCAGCCTGGGGGGGGGGCGGGAATGTGGGGCCCATGAGGATAAAGCCACCTCTGTTTTCTGCAACAATAGCATAAAATCATCTTATATACTAATATTTGCACATCCCTCACCTGACTTCTCTGCAAATCTGAATGCAAATTGCAGCTTCCCCGCACAGCTGGGAAGGAGATACTTCCCCGCCTGTTTTGCAGAGGATTACACCAGAGCAAACACAAAAGAGGAGGAAAACCAACCACAGAATCCAAAGGTCTCAAGTTCTGGGTCTCTGCTTCAAACCTTAGGAGTGCCATCACTTCACCCACGCTGGCAGTTTGCTTTCTCCTCTGAGGCTGATGCTGCGACATCCCTTGCTGGATCCCCCCAGTCCTGAACCCTCGGCTGAAGGAGGGAGCAGAGGAAGGGGGGGGCTGCAGAGATCTCTGACCTCTGGCAGGGCTATCTCAAGCTCAGTGGGTCTTAAAAACAACAGAACTAGTACCTGACACACAAGCCTCTCCAAAGCAGCTGAGGAGTCGCATCCCTTTACAAGCAAGTCGATGAACGAGTCCCGCTCTCACGCGCGGCTCGGGGAGAGGAGCAGGGAACGGGCAGGGAGCAGACCCCAGCAAGCGACCACGGGCTGCCAGCCAGAATTCGCTGCCTGCAGCACAGCACTGAACGCAGCCCAGTTTCTCAGCCGGCGTGTAATTCATCAAGGGCCGCCTCTTCCCGGGAAGCAGCTCTCCTGAACGCTGAGCAAGGCCAACTAGCCGGGAAATTAGCCCTCACCGGCACGTTCAGTCGCACAGACAGCAATTACTGGGTTTTGTAATGAAAAGTCCACTCACGGCTTGGACCTTTCCAGAACTTCTGCCAATGGCACCATTTGAAACACCAGTTTGGGCTTGATTTTAAATGTTTAGTGGCATTTGGCAACTGGATAAATGAATGTGACCTGAAAACCCTTTCCTGCTGCGATGAGGAAATTCTCCAACAAGCGAAAGCAACACACGGCACTTCCCGGGAAGCAGAGAAAAATCCTTCTGCACACAGTTACGGTAACGAAAAATAATACTAAAAACCCCAGAAACAAACAACAAAAAACCCCAGTTCTTTTTAAAGTCAGTTGGATAGCATTTACTGCAGGCACAGGACTTGAAATGAGCACCCTCAGCCAAAAAACCAACACCGACAGTGCCAAACAAAGCATCTCACCCGAACGGCATGGTACTTACGGTAGAGACAGCCGGCGTCCCCTGCCAGCCGGGACCACCCGGGGCAACACCTGTACACGGTCTGGCGTTTCACCTTGTACGCCTGCCTGTAGCCCGTGTAGTACGCAGTTCTGAAACACAGAACGAGAAACCACCCATCAACGGCAAGTCCTGCGGAACGAGGAGACCGGGAAGGCAGAAGGGGTAACTCTATGGTTGTACATAAAACGAGGAATTTGGTTTTCACATGTGCTGACATTTTTTTCCACCTGGTCTAGCAATGATCACTGATGCTAAGAAAATACTCCTTAATTTACTTTAATTGGGAACATGAGAGACTGGAGCGTCCAGGTCCTCATAACACCCCTGGCTCTTTTCTCCTTTTCTAAACTATTTCACAGCTCTCAGCGATTGTTTCCCTCCTCTCCTAAATCACCTGTTAACAAAGGAAATTTAAATGTTAAGAACAACAGGTATTTCAGTCCAGCCTTAGCGAGCACGAGCGGGTGTCTCTAAGGGGCTGGTGAGCTAAAGAAATCATCGGCATCCTGGCGGGAACGCCAAGCGAGGCTGCTACAGGTTAAGGCTGGCAGAACCGATTCCCTGATGGAAAGGGCTTTCGCCTCCTTGGTTCTCCTTCTGCTGAGCCCGCAGTCACCCGCGACTCCACACCGACGAGCCCAGCGCTGCAGCCAGCACCAGCCCGGCCGCGCCGCAGGCGTGACCCCATCTCTCCTGTCTTCCAGAAGAAGGCAGAAGCCCTCCCGGGCCGCACAGTCCCGGGCCGCACAGTCCCGGGCCGCGAGGGCACCGCAGCCCCTCCAGAGGCGTCGGGGGGGGGTGGCCGCAGCCCCACCGCTCGCGGAGCCGGCGTGGGTCTGCCAGGGGATGCTGCGCTCGGGTGGAAGCTGAAGGCCCCTTGCGCAACGCCCACTAGCTACCTTCCAGGGCAGGAGCTGGGGTAGTAAAACAGGGATTGATCTGAAGTATAAATAAATAGAAGCAACACTTTTTTCCTGGACATTTGATGCTGTGTGTACGTGAAAATTGAAACACAGATAAAACTTTTGAAGCCAATTTATAAAAAGCTCCTTTGGCAGAACATGAAAGTATCCACCAAAGCAAAGCAGACAAACAACAACAAATATTTGGCACAGCAGATGTGTTGTACATGTCCACTGAAAATATTTATCCTAACTCACTCTAGTTGTTTGCTTTTGTCTGAATGTTTCTACAAAAAAACCTAAATAATGGTGAACCATTAATTCCCCTGCAGGAAACCTTAGGCTACTCTTCTGTGCCAACCAGCATATGGAAGCACAGCTGAGAAAAATAAAAGCAGATACTGATTTTTTTGTATGAGCTGTTAACAAATTATGAAGGAAATACTCATGTTCCAGAAGCAGATGAGAAAGCAATTTACAATCACTCAGGCACCAGGGCAGCCAGCAATCAGGCGCGGATCCATCTGGATCCCCCTGGTATCGAGAGCTATCATCCCCAGCCCCGGCGTGAACGCGGAGGGCAGGGTGCCTTCGGAGGCACAGAAGGACAGCGGCTGCGGGGTGGTGCCCACGCAACGAGCATTCCCTGCCCGGGCCGTTCTGGAAAACACCCTCCTTTTCACCCAGAACGAGAAAGCCTGCGTGGCAGCAAGCAGCCGCCTCCATCTGCCCTGCCTAGGCTCAGAAACCAGGAGGAAAAGGCATTCCAAGAAACAGCAACGTAGGACAGCTCAGGGCTAATCCCGGGCTGCCTTCTGCCCCCAGCAGCTCCCTGAACGATCTCATCTCCACGAGTCCTGGTGGGCTCTATCGGACACTTCGGATCCTTAAGTCAGCCCAAGGGGGTTCTCAAGGAGATGCAAATATTTTGACAGCCTCAGTTGCCTGTGGATATCTGGATGCTGCAGACTGGAAAGAACCACATAGGAGATACTTTATCTTCAATGTTTCTGTTTTCTTTTGTGTTTTAAGGAGTCCCTGGCACAGAAAATGTTGAATGAGCCAGAACTAATGGAACCCAGGCTTAAAAATCCTGCTGTGTCCTGCTGCTGGAAAATCCACTTCCAGCCCCTCTGGGACAGCGCCGTCATTCCTCCAAGTTTCGTTACTGAGGGCTGAGCAAAGTTACCTTCTGTTGTTACCTAATTCGGGAAAGTTACGCAGCCAGTA